GTATGGTGCTCGACCAGCACGGCTTATCTCGTCTAATCAGAGTAAAAAAGGATGAATAAAAAAAAAGCTTCCATTTGTATGAATTCGCTTCGCGCCGTACAAAACAAACTTCCCGAGGTCGCTCACTCGTCAACAAAAAAAAAAAAGTGCCGTAAGTTTCAGATGTGCCATGAAAATACTTCGCTCTCATTTGTCGCTGATATACATTATGTGCAGCACAAAAAATTTGAAAAAATTTGTTGTTTGCGTAAGGAATTTAGTCCGACTTTGACACAAAACTTACTCTTAGCTCATGCGGTGAGTCGCAGATATCATTTGACACTACCGATATTAATTCATGACCATATTTCGTAAATGACGCCCGTAAAAGGTCTTGCTGCGCAATCTTGACACGTGCCATTCCGAAGAAAAAATCACGGGAAAGCTGCGTAGCACCTTTTGTTGTTTCCTCAGTATCAAATGGTTCAGTAGAACAGCTTAAGATGTACGAAATACAAGCGTACAAATCCAACTTGGTTTGTAATGATCGCCTACCTAAAATTTACATTTTTTGCATGATTTTTTTACAAGCTGCAAGCCAAAAAAAGTGAGCAGTGAAAAAAAGGAGCAATCATGTAAGAAAAAAAAAACAAGAAAAACATACTTGGCTGAGTTAAAAACTGGATTAGAACGTCAACAAGTTCACTGATGACTGTTCTGAAGACGCCAATATCATCCTCCATATCCTTTAACAGTGTGCACATCGAAACTGTCAACCTAAATCAAGCAGAAAATCTAATAAGTAGCCAACGCGCCGACTGCCGGTGCGAAGACGCGTTTTTGCATGGTTTCCCTGCAGGCTTTATTGCTAAGAGCACTGCTTTTTCCGTAAGATGCTTCTAGCTAAAAGAAGTGAGACTGGCGATGTCAAAAATTATTACTGCGACTTTCACTCGTGCTCAAAATTTCAACATGCTTAGAAAATTTCAGCACTCCAGCTGCGCTGGTTATGGGGGCACGCCAAATTTCACGTGTTCATGCAGAAGGGGAGACGTGGATGCTGCTTTCAAGTGCGCTTTCCAAACACTTCGACTACGCTCAGGAAATTTCAGTACTCCAGCTGCTCTGGTTACAAAGCAACGTCAAATTCCACATGCTCGCA